TGGCGGGGGGTCGGGCTAGAAGATCTACTACGTCCCTTCCAACCCTAAATCTATGAAATCTATGCTTCAGGGAAGGAAGCGGGCTGAGACAAAAGGTTCTGCTGACCTGTGAAAAACTCTTTCTTTACCTACAGGCCTATGAGAGAGAAATCCTAATGCTGTAGTATCTAGGAAGGACTGAAGAGAAAGCAAGATAGGGGACATAGTATCCATTATCATGTTCACCTTGCACAAGACTCCTGGGAGTAAACTTTTCCCAGCTTCTCCATCCAACCAACAGTCTCTTTATGCTCACTGCCCACATCTTAACATATAAGATACACAGTGTCAAAGCAATACTTTATAACCAAAAGTTAAAACCTTTTGAAGTTAGCCTTCAATCAGTGAAGTTTCAGCTCCATATATTAGATATCAGCTAAAGAATTTCAGCAAACTGGGCTTTATTTCTCTTTTTTGCTACTAGATAAAAAGTTTAATTCTTGAACTTTAATGAGCAATTGTTTTTACCATGTCACAATTCAATTAACCAGAGTTCAATTAATTAAAAATTTGGTAGGAAAAAAACAACACATCTGAAGTACCCATACTTCACCTAGCAGGTTTGCATGTGCCTAGCAAGAGGCACATGCAGGAATGAAAAAACATTCCCTATGCAGGGGCAAAATTAGACCTACTCCCACACCTTGCCCCAGCCTCCTGGCACTTAACCAAAAAAAAAGCCCCGCACTTACCAGCTGTAGCAGTGGCTGTCAAGGCCTCTGAGGCCTTGTGGCAGAGCACAGGGCAGCAGGGAGCAACCCCAGCCGCTTGGGACCCACGCTACCGCTGTCAGATTGTGTGGGTGCAGCACTGCTTCTATTTGAGCTGCTGCAAGCGCATGTGCCTACATGTGTGGACACACCCAATGAGTTCAGAGATTAACTGTTAAAGTTTAGAATTTGGTGCTCTTCAAATTCCTACTGTTCGTAAGGTATATGATGTCCTCAATTTATCTGCTGTACGCCACTCATTATTTTGAATAATTACTGTGCTTTTTAAAACTCCTACAGAGTCCCAATCTCTTCAATCAGTCTTCCTATAGATAGAAGTTTTTCAAAATCCCAGTAGCTTGTGTTGTGTACCACTGGAGAAAAACTCATGCCACTGTTAAAAGGAAAGGGACTGTTTGACGTAATGTGACACTGGACATAAATATGCCTCTTCTCTAGAACTGAATTATGCCAATGTTACCTTGGAACAATCTCATGTAGTAGAACTGGGAATTATTGTGTTTGCTAGTGGGAATTTAAACTAATTGTGCTGTTTGTAAATTGTTTCAAGATTTAAAATGTTTAGAAAAAGTTGTAGCTGCAGAACTAGATTGATAATGCATAAAAAGAATTCCAAATATTAATCTGTACTTTTCAAGATATTAAGAATATGCAATTGGAAGCGTCTTCCAGGGCTATCAAGGTGATCAGTTTATCCAAGGAAACTGTAAAGTCACTACTTGGAATCCTCACACACAACTACAAGGTACAATACCAGAACTGGCCAGAACACTCATTAACATGCCATAGGCAGAATCAGGGGAGATGATGGCATTACCAGTACAAAAGGAAATTCGTTAATATGTGCTCAGCAGATCTTGGAAAGACAACTATATGCTGTGCCACAGAAAAAGGCAAAAACCCCCAATCTGACTTAGGGAGGAACTTCTTGCTGCTCCCGAGTCTGGTCATCATTATAATCTTGGTGGGAAAAGTAAGACCGTCCCTGCTTAACGCCTCGGGACAGCTGGTAACCAACATTCAGGAAAAAAATGAACTCCTGAATGTCCACTCTGCTTTGGTATTTCACCGGACCATGGGGAAAGTCAAGAGAGATAAGGCCTCCCCACTGTGGATGCTGTGCAGGTGCAATACCAACTAGAAAAGCTAGACATTTATAAGTCAGCGGGACTGGATGGACTCCATCCAAGAGTGCTGAAGGAGCTGGCTGAGGTCATCACAGAACCCCTGGCAAAGGTCTTTCAGAATTTGTGGCGAACAGGGGAGATCCCTGAGGATTGGAAGAAGGCCAACATTCTGCCCATCTTCAAGAAGGGGAAGAGGGAGGACCCAGGGCAACTACAGGCCAATCAGTGTAACCTGTATCCCAGGAAAAATCCTGGAAATGCTCATTAAAGAATCTATGTGCGATACGCTCGAGGAAGGTAAGATTCTGAATGACAGCCAGCATGGCTTTGTTGCGGGTACGTATTGTCTTACCAATCTTATCTCCTTCTACAACCAGGTCTCTTGCCATCTGAACATGGGAGACAAGGTAGACCATCATATACCTAGACTTCCAAAAGTCTTTTGATCTAGTATCCCATGATATCCTTGTGGGAAAAACGGAAGATTGTGGGCTCAGCTGCTCAATGGTTCAGTGGGTGGGAAACTGCCTAAAGGGTAGGACCCAGAGAGTTCTCATGAATGGATCTGTGTTATCCTAGAGCGAAGCAGCCAGTGGTGTCCCTCAGGGGTCTGTGCTTGGCCTGGTGCTTTTCAACATCTTTATCAGTGATTTGGATGGGGGAGTGAAAAGCTCGCTGGCCATGTTCGTGGATGACATCAAGTTATGAGGCAGTGTGGTCATGCCAGAAGATAGGTTGCTGATACAGGCAGACCTGGACAGGCTCAGGAGTTGGGCAGGCTGGAACCAGAAGAAGTTTAACACTTCCAAGTGTAAGGTGCTCCATCTGGGGGAAAATAACCCTCAACA